GCTGTTTCGAGCCAGTTTTGTCGCGTAACTTTGCGCCGAACTTCGTCTTTCGAAGCCATGATGGCAATTTTTGGCAGGCGTTCCAAGCCCAAACCGCGGAAAACTAAGCACGAGCCAAAACCGCGGAAAGCTAGGCACTAGTATCCATATTTTCAAGATGGCGGACCGTCGTGAGTCAGGTTAGACTAAAGTTTGTCTGTCTCTTTCGTTGTTAGACAACCTTCTAATTCAATAGTATTGTAAGATTTGGCTTTTAAAATTAATTGAGACAATGGTCACAAAATACCAAGTTAATGTAGCATTTATGACGATGTACAATTCTAAAAGCTTATCCATCAATTTTAAGTTTTTCTTCTGATCGACTACATCGATCAAGCAGCAATCAGTCTTAATTTTAACAATTATTGGATGAGGCTTCGGCTGATAACTCTTACCTCGACCTTGATTATTCTGGATATTACAAAAACCGAATCTAATAATTGTTTTATTATACATTCCAACGAAAAAATAATGCTTCTGTCACCGATGTTGTTTACTTAGCGGCAAGCAAACGCCAAGCGCGCGAACTTGACATGATTACGTACTCTTGGAAATAGACCATTTTACAGTTCTGTGAAATGTAACCAAGCCTCTGTATGAAAGCGAGGTTAAGGGTGACCATGAGATGATAGAGGTCAGGAAACTAGTTTACATAATAACAGAATAATTTACATTTGAAAAGAAGGAAGGTTTGTATCACAACAAAGTCACCTCCAGCCTCACTTCTGTTCAAAGGCCTGGATTCTAAGCACACAACTGTAAAATGGCCTATTATGCACCGCATGCGACATGATTACTCGTGATCCTCTCACGAACTTGACATGATTACCCGTGACCTTGAGTGTCCTGGACATGATTATTGTATAGTCTGCAGGTAGATGCTTTCAAAGGCGCTGATTTCGAAAATTCACTGTACGCTTTCGGCCAATCAGAAAAGAGATAGTGAGTTGAATGTATAATAATCCTAAATTAAAAGGAGCAATTTTAGAATACCCGGCAACTTATTTAACATATCAGCTGAACGTTTGTAGATGAACCAAAATGATCCATTCTTATTCGATGACAATAACCGTCACATGTAAATAAGTTGCCGGGTATTCTACAACTTAGCCCATATATGTTGATATGTTTTGAAAAATTTGGATCTGCATGCCCAAATTCATTGCAAAACTCTCAACAAGCTTTGCAACGGTTTTTTGGAGCGCTAAGACTCGGGCTCGGATTTTTAAACTAGGGTCTCGGCATCTCAGCGAGTCTTGGAATTTTACCATTCGCCACCCCTTAAATCAGAGGACTGAATTATAATTATTATTGTATTTATTAATTTGGTTAGGGAGAATCAAGGACATCTCAAGTAGGAAAATTATCGATAATGCAACTCGAAAAAGACGCCAGAAAAGACAAACTTGAGGCATTGGAAAAGGACAACTTTCAAGATGATACCACATTCTCACCTGACAGTAGTTCCTGCCAAATTGAAAGGTTCCTGCCTTTAATGACACCATGGAAGGTATTTACAACAATAATATAAATATTAAGTAAAGCCTTTTTGGAGCCTAGTGGCTCAATAGCACAGGACTGCAAATAATTGTTTTTTCTTGAAAGGACATGTGTCTGACGAAGTCACCATTTTGGTCGTGACATGATGATTTTATTATAAGCAAACCTGCTAATCTAACGCGTTGTCAATTCAGAGTAAACTAGTTTGCGTTTAGAACAAAACGCAGGCAAAAAATTGTCTGGACATTATGTCTGACCCTGTTGGGATTTCATCAGACATTGGCAAATTTTGGTCGGCCATTGTCCGATGACTGACTGTTATTTGCATCCCTGTAACATATAGCATGGAAGTGCCTAGGAGTATTGCTACCCCCTGGACAGGATGCTATTTACTGTAGTCCATCACCGATTACCCCCATCATTTTTGTAAGGTTAATTAATTTTGTCCTCTATAAACCTTTCGTTGGTACCCACTTTAATATACTCCTACTGTACATACATGTACGTGGAGAGAGGCACTGTGAGAGTAAAGTGTCTTGCCCAAGAATATACAACACAATGACCCTGACCAGTGCTCAAACCCGGACCACGCCATTCAGAGTCTAGCACACTACCGAAATGATAACTTTCCTTTCTGTTACCTCTTGTTTTGTTTTACTTTGGTTGTTTTTATTTTACCCGTTAAAGTACATTGTAGAACTGTTCTTTTTGCATTTTGTAACATGCAGTATTTTGTGCCTCATCTCGTAGATAAAAGAAAGAAAAGAAAATCCAAAACAGGGGAGCTGTTTAAACAGGTCTGTGAACTGATTTTAGGATACAGTGAACTCTCTCAAGACGGACACTATCTGGACCGGCACAAACTGTCCATCTTACAGAGGTGTCCATCTTATAGAGGTGTCTGTTAAGAGAGAGTTGACTGTACAATGTAATATTGAATCAGTAGAGTCATCCATAATTTACCGTACCATTTTAATATTAGTTTGTGCTCTTAATCCCAATCACCTTCAATAAAAAGGTTAAAGGGATCCCCGACTGTTGGAACAAGTTGCCGTTAAAGTGATAGAAAAATAATCTGAACCTAAAATTTGTTGAAAACCGCGCAATATTATTTCAGTGTTAACGAAAAAACTGGCTACAAATCTCTGCCATTTTAGGTTTCAAATTTCCCGCGCGCCGCCATTTTGTATTATATGACGTATTGTGGTTGCCGCTATTGTCAGTAAACAATAGCTCTTTTGTTGTATAACAAAAGGGGCAACCATGAAACGTCATAAAATCCAAGATGGTGGCGCGCGGGTAATTTGAAACCTAAAATGGCAGAGATTTGTAGCCAGTTTTTTCGTTAACACTGAAATAATATTGCGCGGGTTTCAACAAATTTTAGGTTCAGATTATTTTTCTATCACTTTAACGGCAACTTGTTCCAACAGTCGGGGATCCCTTTAAAGTCTGTTCCAATCCAATGTACTTTATCAGACGAGCCAAGTGACTCATCACTGCTGGTGCTTAACTCTGACTGGTCTCTATATTAGCATGAAGTCACTAGGAGTACCGGTATTGCTACTCCCCCTGGATGGGATGCTAGTCCATCACTTTATTCACACATTACCCTCTGCCCCAGCATTTCCGTCAGGGTTGCCCTGAGGGCTGCCAATTCACTTGTACCATTTATACTCCAGGGTGGAGAGAGGCACTACAAGAGTAACATGTCTTACCCAGTGACCTTGAGCTCAGTGCTCAAACCTGGACCACTCAATCCAACGCATTATGCCACCACACACCCCATACCCCAAAAGGAGGTGAAACATCTTTCAACAAGAGGGGGGCTGGTTCCCTTCCCTATGTCTGCTTCTGCCACTGCTTAATGTACAGTAACTGAGCAGTAAAATGAGCCATGATGGCTTTAAACTTCCTGATACTAAGTTCTTCGAATGTTTTTGTTTTGTTGCTCAACAGAGATTTAGAAGAACTTTTGCCATGCTACTGGAAGAAGCAGTAAGTGTCTACATGTACATGCCGTAATAATACTTCTCACACACCACTGTTAGCCATGTCAAGCCGACCGCCGCAAGCCTGACCTTTATTGTAAAATCAAAAACTATACACATATCACGCTAAAACTGGGAAGCCTCCAAAATTACAAGCTTTGTACATTAGTTACATTGTATAACGCCGAAATTAAAAAATACTACTGAAATTCTTTGGGTGGGTGGGTGGGAAGGTCAGTAATGGCGGACGCAACAAAAACAACTGCCCGCCTCACCGGTCACATGACCTATACCCAGGCTCCAGCGGTGTGTGAGAGAAAATATTTTCCACTTTTTTTCGTTTCACTCAGCCATGCAGTGGAAAATTTACCCTTAACAAGCTCACGTTTTGTATGTCATTGAGCAAATACTGTAGTCAGCAAGACACAGAAAAACAAGAGTGGATAGTATAACCCCCTGACCTTGTTATTTTGTTAGACATTGTACTTGTTGTGTTTATAAAAAAGTGATTTATTTATTTATTTGTCCAGCATGACGGAGAAGGGAATGAATTGGAATCTAAATATGATCTAAATAAATGACAAAATACACACAACCTCAAACTGCAAAATTTATAACTAGGTTTCTTGCCAACCTACAATGTACATGTATGATCTCATTCGCATTCTCTTTTTATTATTTACACCGCAGTTCACATTACATGATTTATTTCATCATGGCCTATAATATTCAATTGTTTGTTTGTTTGTTTATTTGTTCTATCCAGCAACAGGAAGCAGAAGCCGGTGAACCTTCCTACAACTCAGCCAATGTTCCCCCATCAAAGTTACCAGAGAGGCACTTCTGTTCTGTCTGTGGATATCCTTTTAACATTTATCACTTCTCAACACACCACTGGTAGCCATGTCAAGCCGACCGCCGCAAGCCTGACCTTTATTGTAAATCAAAAACTATACACATATCACGCTAAAACTGGGAAGCCTCCAAAATTACAAGCTTTGTACATTAGTTACATTGCATAACACCGAAATTAAAAAATACAACAAAATACTACTGAAATTCTTTGGGTGGGTGGGTGGGAAGGTCAGTAATGGCGGACGCAACAAAAACAACTGCCCGCCTCACCGGTCACATGACCTATACCCAGGCTCCAGCGGTGTGTGAGAAAAACATTTTCCACTTTTTTTCGTTTCACTCAGCCAGTGGAAAATTACCCTTACTTTTTCAAAAACCATTATCTGTATTTCTGGTTGTCACACAACGCTTCTTCAAGCATTCCTTGACAACCCAAATGTATACCTCCATTATTATCATTTATGGCCGAGGACTCCTTGGGGTCTGGACACTACCGAATCCATCAATTTGATTGGGTAAAAGGATATTGACCGCGGTCAATATTCTCCCGTCTAGACCAGCATCTAGACCGCAACGCCGCCGCAATGCTGCCGCAACATTTTCAAGTTAATTGTGAACAGTGAACCTGGGCTTGAACCCGAACCACCCAATCCGGAGTCCAACACACTTACCATTAGGCCACCATGTCACTGTCAGTTCTGCAAGAAGCTTCACTGCACCTTGTACTTGGACTGCTGCTCTCCAAGTACAAGGTGCTGTTGGATTTTTTTTTTAATAAATGTGGTAATGAAGTGATTTGTGAGTCCTTGACTGCTCTGTACATTCCCTCGAACTACACGTGTGTGTCCTGTGGAGCGAGATATTGCTGTGTGAGGTGTTTATCGACACACCAAGACACAAGATGCCTGAAGTGGACAGTTTGACCCCGGTTACCATCCGATGTTCACTTTCTTTTAAACCACACAACTTAAAGAACAGTTGCAGCGACCTTTCAGCAATCAATAACCTGCTCTGAATTCAATTGGCAACGAGAGGCACGATTAATTCATCCCTGAAGATAAGCAACTTAGATAAGCAACGTTCTGTGAGCAGTCTGGGCTAATAAGCTTGACTGAGCCCGTGGTTTTTGGTCAAAGCAGTTGCTAAGCGACATGATGGCATGATGTGTCCGTTATGACGTCATGCTGACGTGACGTCTGTCAAAGTGGTCACGACTTGAAGAATAACACTCAGAAACGTTTTCCAAACACGGCACTGACCTTCCAGTTTTAAAGAGTTAATTAATATATACAGTTAGATACACTTTGTTTTGGGCGATTACCGTAGACTTTTTGTAGCTAGTAGTCGCATCAATGAAAAAAAATTAATAATAAATCAATGATAAAATTTTATATTATGGCGAAAAAGAATGTGTTGGAATTAGTCCTATT